GAAAGAAAGAGATTATTACAAAAAAAAAAAAAAAAAAAAAAAAAAAAACCTCCCTGAATCATATCCTGGGGTCTCTATTGCATCCTAGGCTTCAAGGTCACGGATTCACATAATGGCCTCTCAGGGACTCTAAGCCTGTCCATGGGTGTTCTCTAAAACCATAGAATGAGACTCCACTACTCATTAAATCTTCTGTCTTCCATGAATGCAAAATCAACATCATGTGACCAAGTTCTGCTTCCAGCTTGAGATATAGACTTGGGCCCCTCGATCTACAGCTATATCAGTTTCAATGTACTGACTCTGGGGAAAACACTTCCTTCAGGGAATAGAGAGCCCCCCAGTTTAAGCTTTTTCTTTTTTTTCCTTCAGATGAACTTAGTTCTTCAGAAGATAGAGCCTCAGAGAGGTGAACTTTTACCTTCAGAAGCCTCTTCCATTGTCCTAGTATAGCACAGGTTTCTCTTCAGTGGTGTTCATTTCTTCAAAAATTACATCTGTTATCTCAGCACCAGCTGGAGTGCTCTTCTGTTGGTTTGAATAAGAATGACCACCCCACCCCACACCATAGGCTCTTGTATTTGAATGCTTATTTGCCAAGGAGTGGAACTGTTTGAAAGATTAGTAGGATTAGGAGGTGTGGCCTTGTTGGAGTGAGTATGCCTTGTTGGAGGAAGTATGTCATTAGAGGAAGGCTTTGAGGTTTCAAAAACCTAAGCCAGGCTCAGTGTCTCTCACTGCCTGGCTGCCTGTAGATCAGGATCTAAAGATCTCAACTACTGCTCTGGTGCCATGTTTCCTGCCATGCTTCCTGTCATGATGATAATGGACTGAACCCCTGAAACTGTGAGAAAGTCTCAATTAAATGCTTTTCTTTATAAGAGTTGCCTTAGTCATGGTGTTTCTTCACAGGAATAAAACAGTGACTAAGATAGAAGTTAGTACCAGGGACTAGAGTATTGCAGGACTAATCATGCTTTTTTATTTTATTTTATTTTATTTTATTTTATTTTATTTTATTTTATTTTATTTTATTTTATTTTATTTAGGAATATGGAAGGAAAACTTTGGTACTTTGGAGTAGAAAAGTGGTTGGTTGTTTTAAGCAGAGCTGATTAAGCCATCCTAGTAGGAGCATGGAAGACAGTGCTAAGGGAGATTTTAACTGCAGGGGCTTACTTAAGAAATTTCAGAGGGAAGAATGTTTGTATTTATAGAGACCATTCTTGTGATATTTTGGCAAGAATGTGGCTCCCATTTGCCCTTGTTCTAAAAATCTGCCTGAGACTAAATGGAAGAGTTTAGATTAATGGCATCCACAGAGGAGATTTCAAGACAGCCTCTTATTGATTGTCATGTGATTATTAGTTACCACTCATATGCAAATATATAATGAAAAGGAGCAAATTGAACCAAAAGAAATTAAAAATGTATGTGCTGAGAAAAAAAGTTGTACCAGGAAGTGCAATGAAGTTAAGTCCAGTGCTCACGGAGATAAAACGTTTAAAGAAAAGCCTGATGCTAAATGGAATAAAGGGAGTGGTGGCCTCAAGGCAAGACCTCACCCAGCTAAGCTTCCAACTTGAGAAGAAAAAGAAAGTTTAGGCATCACCGTCAATAACTGAAAGCGCATGAAAATGTAATTGAATGAGGGGGACAAGTTCCAGCCCCATGGAGCAGCAGAACTTGGCAGCATTGGCCATGTGATTCTGGCTTTCAACCTGGGGATAAAGGAAAGGGGTTGTGAAATCTTCCACTGTGGCTAAGGAAAGCTGTCATGTGTGTGTCAGGGTTGTTGCTGCATGGAGGCCCAGAGAGGCCATTGCATGAAGCTCTGAAGGTAAAACCTACATTGCCTTGGAAACCCCAAGATGTTGGAGATGCCAGACCAGCTCAAGAGAAGTGTGTTAGAGATCTAAAGAGCACTTTGACATCAGACATGAAGATATAGAATTTGGAATTTGCACTGATGGTTTTCAGATTTACTTAGATCCAGTATTTCCTCACTATGCTCCCTTTCCTCCCTTTTAGAATGATAATATATGTTCTGTGTCATTTATGTTGGAAGTATGTGATCTGCATTTTTATTTGTATTTTATAGGGAGTTACAGTTAAGAGAATTCCATGAGTCTCAGAAAAGACTTTGGACTTTTAAACAGTGTTGAGATTGTGATAGATTATGGGGACTTTTAAAATTGGACTAAATTCATTTTGCATTATAATATACCCACAAGCCTATCAGGGCCAGGGAATAGAATGTGGTGGTTTTTAATAAGAATGGCACTCCTCCATAGGCTCATATATTTGAATGCTTATTTATTAAGGAGTGGAACTGTTTGAAAAGATTAGAAGGATTAGGAGATGTGGCCTTTTGGGAGGAAGTATGTCACTGGTGGTGGGCCTTGAGGTTTCAAAAGCCCAGATTAGTCCCAGAGTGTCTCTCTGCCTATCTTCCTGCCTGCCTGCCTAACTGACTGCCTGCCTGCAGATGAGGATATAAAGCTCTCAGCTACTGGTCCACCACCATCTGCACTGCCATGCTTCCACACATGAGCTTTTAGAAGACACAGGATCTAAGTCAAAATGGTCCTCTCAAAACTCTGAAAGCTCATGGACACCTAATAACTAAAAATGTTCCAGGACGCTTACAAAGGTCTCCAAAATGTGAATTCTTCTACTATTGGGGCTAATTCGAAGTGTGGGTCTCTAGGGTCTCCTCTAGAGCTTGAAGGCAAACTCGTAGCTATGCTACCTTAAGATTAAAAAAAAAAAAAAAAAGATATGTGCTCCCAAGGTTGAATGGCACAACTAAATATTCACATCTCCATATGGGGGAAGATGGTATTGAAAGTGCTTAATCATATGGAAATTTAATATTCATCTTCTGAAGTTCTACCACAATTAAACCATTATGCCCATACCAGTTTATAGTCCTATCAGCCATGAACAAGGATTCCAACTCGGCCGTATAATCAAAATATCAGTCCAGTTTTTGTTTATTGATTATATCTTTTTGAGAACATGTGGACTTTCTTTATGGTTTTGATTTTTCATCCCTGTTTCCTAAAGCTGTTGCTTCCTTTACTGTGTGCTTAGTAATCAGCTGTAAACTTACTTCCTCCAGAGCAATGATTCCTGAAGCCCTTTGCCCACTGAGATAAATTTTGGTTGCATTTTAGGAGTACTTTTTATATTTTAAGCATTGTGTATTTATCAAGTGTATAATTTACAGATATTTTCCCGTGCTGTTTTCTTGATGGAATATTTTGAAGTCGAAAGATCTCGTTTTTAACTGTGACAGAAGTCTTAATTTTGGCTTCAGCACCATCATTATCAAATCTTGGATCATTAAAACATTCTGTGTGTTTTGTTAAGTAAGTTAAATGTCTTTTCTTCTCATATTTAGTCTTTTGCCATCTTGTGAGGTAAATCTCCACATGATGTGAGATAGGTATCCAGACTCACTATCGTATATGTAGATATCCAGTTGTGCCAGCATTTTTGAAGAGATAATTCTTTCCTCTTCATTGCCACCTTTCTAAAAAACTAATTGATCATAAATATATAGGTTTATTTCTGGATTCTTAATTCTATTTCATTACTTTGTGTTTCTATCAATATATCAATGCAGTAGTTTTAATTACCATAGTCAAGCAGTAAGTTTTAAAACTGAAAGCTGAGAGTCCTACAGCTTGGTGACCTTTTCCCTTACTTTTTAAAAATTAATAATGGATATAATACAATTCCATATGAATTTTATGATCAGCTCTTTTAAAAAATGTCTATGGCCAGGCATGTGGCTCACACCTTTAATCCTAGCACTCAGGGAGGCAGAGCCAGGCAGATTGCTGTGAGTTTAAAACCAGCCTGGTCTACAAAGTGAGTCCAAGACAGCTAAGGCTACACAGAGAAACCCTGTCTCAAAAAAAAAAAAAACAAAAAAACCCCCATAAATAAATAAATAAATAAATAAATAAATAAATAAATAAGATCTGTGGAAAACTATTAAGATTTTAATAGCTATTATTTTGGCTCTGGGGGTTGCTCTGGGTGTTTTGCTGTCTCAATAATATTGAGACATTTAACCTATAATTCGAGATGGTTTTCCATTTTCTTGGGCTCTTGATTTCTTTCACCGATGTTATGCAGCTTCTGCCATATACATTTTAAAGTTCGTCAATTTGTGTGTGTTCATTGTGTGTATTGCATGTGCAGGTATGGGTGTGGCACCTAGAGCCCACATCGTAGTCAGATGTTCCACCACAGAGCTATATTTCCAGGTTTGTTCTTGAGCGCTTCACTTAAATGCTCAGTGCTAGTGTAAGTACATTAAAAAAAAAAAAAGCTTTGTTGTGGGATTTCCATTGCTCATTTATGTGATGACTGTGGCTGATTTTCAAATTGCAGATATGTGAAACTCCTTCATGGGATCTGATAATTTGGTGATAAGTTTTTCATAATTTTCTATATGTGAGATTATATTATATGTAATTATAGATCATTTTACTCTTTCCAAAATGAATGTCTTTATTTTTCTTGACTAATTTTCCTTGACTAGAATTTCCAGTACAGTGTTTAGTGGACATGATAATTTCTATTATCTTTGTGTTTTACCTGATCCTCAGGAGAAAGTTCCAGCCTTTTGCAACTTAACATAACAGTTTATATGGGCTTCTATTTAATTAAAAAGCATTTTGCAGTCTGATTTTGAAATACCAGAGTGAGGCTGTGCAGTATAGAGCCCCAAGGATTTCTAAAAGTGTATCCAAGGCCAAAGATAAACATTTTGAAATTTGAACTATGCTTAAAATGATTCTTCAAAAATATGCCTTGAAGAAATATGTGTATTTCTTCAAAAATATACACTGAAAATGTAAATTAAAAACCTGACATTGTGTTTGTGATATCTCTAATGGTAGTCATCTTAGTTAGCAAACATTTTGAAATGAACCTTCTTTGAGAATGTGGTTATTTTAATGCACGCTTGTTTTGGATTGCAGATTGGTTTTGTCCTGTACCCCCTTAGTGGAAGACCTACATGGAATCTGTCAGATATTGAGAATAAAATGTTTCTCACCATGTGCTTTTCTTGGCATTATGGATCAATCTTTGTCATCATCGGAGCAATATATGCTTTTATCACCTGGTAAGTTACTTTTTTTTTTTAATTGATGGTCCATTCCTTAACACATGATCATCAAGACTTGGCAGTGTTGAACTTCAAATTAAAAAGGAAGATTTTATTCTTAGCTTCTCGTAAGACAGACTAGGGTATTGGGAAGTTATCTCTACACAAAGAAATGGCCAGCAAAAAGGTCCATGTTGACTTAAAGTTGTAGTGGTTCAGTGGTGTGGCTGCCCTGCCTCGGACCCATGCCTCACCCAACAGCATGCTCTCTGGATCCTCTGTCTTTTCACATGTACTCTTCTCTATTCTGAATGTCCACTTCCCCTTTGTGCAGTGAGGTCTCCACTTACTCATGGGTTCATACTCTTATTGTCCCATTTGCTAACCTTGGGACCATTGTTTTGACAAATATATATGAATAAAATTAAATAAGACAATAACTCTAATATTTCTAAAAGTTGAATGATGCATTCTTTTATACAAGAATCCTGATCTCACCTTCTGAGCATGGTAGGAGCAACATAGAAGATTGCTGAGAATACATATTCCTAGTCTTACTGCCTATCAGCTAAGACTTCAGACTCATTACTCAACCACAATGTGTATGAATCTTATTGTTTACTAAATAGAGATACTAGAACCTAAATGAAATCTTGTGCTTACATTCCTGAAGATGTAAAACCCCAACAAGTGGTCTTGTCTCTTTGTCCATATTCTCTTTCTCTTTATTTGGTATAAAACTATGAAGTAGAGACCCTCCCATGGGGCTACTTCATAGATTTTTGTCCTGGAGCCAGGGCAAATTAGAGAGGTAGACAATTAAAATGCAGTGCAGTGAGTGGAATCAGTAGAGAGAAACAGTTGCACAAGGAAGGCTTCTCACAATTGGCAGGTAATGTTAGCTCAAAAGATGAGTAGGAAGGAAAGAGGATGACCACGGCTTCCAGGGTAGCCAGTACCAAATCACAGTGGGCTCAGCTGATCCTGATTACTGCCAGGCACACTCTAACACTCAATTCTTCAGACTGCTTCATGGAGTCTGATATTCTATACCTGCGGTCATGTGTACCCAGTGTTCAGTATGGTGGACACTAACTCCTGAGAACTTATAAGGAGACACAATCCATAATACTATGGAGGATACTGCACGCCTTGTGGGTTTTCCAGGTTCCTAGAATGTGATGGCTATTTCTAGGCCCTGCAGTTTGTCAACTTCTGCTGTAACTGGCTTTGTATCCTGTAGGCATGGGTTCTAGGTCAGCCCTCCTCCCCTGAGCTCTTCACTAGAGCAACTGTGACACTAGGGCACTGAAAAAGAAACTCAAACCTGTTGCCTTCTCTAGCTTCTACTCATCTCTCTTGGGCTTTGGGTTGACACACTCTGTAGGTGCTTTCTCTCTCTCCTTCAGGTTGTTTCTGGTCGTCCTGTTGCACTCCCCTAAAGCATGTGCTTTAGCTCATTGTTAAGGCTGGCTAGGCTACTGAGTCTTGCTTTCTCCCCCTGTTGTTCTAGGCTGACATCTGAGCCTCATCTCCTTAGGGGCCGGGCAGTCTTCAGGAACAGTGCCAGGATGCAAGGAAAAACTCTGCTTCGTGTCAGCTCCCCTTCAGAGCCAAGAGAAGACTACTGTCTCTTCCTGTTTCAAAAGCCTTCAGATGCCTAATAAATGGCTTGTCCACTTACAGGTCCCTAGCAACAAGAAACTCTAGTTTTATTTTTCAACCTTTCCTAGTCCCCACCACATGGTTTTCTAATCTCTTTGACCAGACAGTTCCCTTTGCCTGGCATATTCACACTAAATGCTCGTCTCTTCTTTGAAACCTTTTATAATTCTTCTGGTTCATATTGAACTGTAACTTTAAATATTGTAATCTACCGATTGTCATATGTTGACTACTAGTTCCTGTTAGTCCTCCCTGCCAGCTAGATTGTGTTCCTGTGTTGGACACAATCATGATCATATCCACATACCTACTGGCACATTGCCAGACATATAGTAGGTGCTCAGTGAACATGTTAGCTGTGTCCTAGGTCTGCATTCCAGAGGTACTTAAATAAATTATTTGTTTAGAAATCATATTTTATATGTTTCTCAATTTTCCTTTAATATTGACATTGAAACGATAAGACCAAGAGTTCAACTTTCCCTGAACTATTTTGATACATACTTAATCAACTGTTTTAAAATATTACAAAGATTCAGTATTATCTTTCAATGAAATCACATGGATAATTCATTCACTCCTAATTTTGAGAATAGCGATCCTTGAAACTCCTTTAGTCAGGGTTTGACTATAAAGTTGGTGCTTATCCACACGTCATTAAGTGTCAGACATTGATTATATCCAACTTGTCTGCTATAGCACAATGAGTGTCACACAAGCACATCTCAATTATAGAATTCTCCTCCTTAAATCCCTGAGCGATAGCTCTAAATGTCTCAGTTTTGCAAAATAATGGCTCAAGGTTGCCTCATTCTTCCCCTTGCCTGCAGCCTTGATTACATAAGCTCGTAAGTAAAACGTACGTGTTTGGGAATCTTGTTGCGTATATAATGTGTCCCTTCCATGCACCTCTGTTGCAAATCACTGTTTCAATAGTCCTTGCCTATAAGTAAGAAGGCCTATTTCCAGAGATGTTTTCCACACAGTGAGTCATGTAAGATGCTGTAAAGAGCAAAGTGGAGTTTGTTCACACGCCAGGCACTAAGGTTTGGGGAAGTAACTCTTGCGTCAGGCCTGCATTTTGTGACATTTATTGATGAGAACATGAAACAAGAACAGAGACATGTCTTGATCTTCATTTCTTTAATTTTCCCCATTCTAGTAACTAGCAATTATGTCTGAGTATCTATCATCTTTCTCTCTATCTCTCTATATCTATCTATCTATCTATCTATCTATCTATCTATCTATCTATCTATCTATCTATCTATCTATCTACCTACCTACCTAATCAATTTACTTTTATTTGGGATGTGTTGTTTTGAGTGTCTTTTATTTGTTTGTTTGTTTTGAGTCTGGCTATGTGGTCCTGACTGGCCTACAACTTTCTGTATAGACCAGGCTGGCCACAAACTCACAGAGATCCACCTACCTCTTGCTCCTGAGTGGTAGGATTAAAGGTATGTGCCACCAAGCCAGTTCCTTTTTTTTTTTTTTTTCTTTTTACCACCCCACCTCTCACGCTGCCTCATAGGATTGTATCTGCACATGAGCCATAGACACCTAAAACCTGATAAAGGTGTGAATGTATCTGATCTGAGTGGCTTGCAGCAAGAGCAAGTACAACCCAGAAAGAGCAGGAAGTAATGGGAGTGACTGGGCATGTTAACATTTCTTTCCCAGTAAGCAGTAAGTTGTTTTACTTTCTACCCAAGTCTAAAGTAGGGCATATAACTGATTATTCCCTTTCATCTTACATGGACTGGTATTGTGCTACATGGAAAGAATGTGTGGGATTTTTTAAGGTGATACAAATGCCCCCCAGCCCTTATCCTGTTACAGAACATCAACCTTTCACAAAGGTAGTGGCTTGGAGTATTCAGAACAAATGAATAAAATCAGTAGTCAATAATCAAGGCAAATAACTGAGCTGTTTTTCTTTGCTGTTGAATCAACAGAAGTTAGTGATTCTGCTCAGCTATTGTTTATTGGAGATGCTATTGTCAGTTTGTGGTGGCTGAATATTTGGCAGCTTCTAGTCACAGATGAGTGATGTGACCTCCTGTCAGATTGCTCCAAATGTCATTGATGTGTCAAATGTTATAGGTTAGAATCACTTCTGACTCTGGCTAGGGTTAGGCCAGAAAATGGGATAATGTTGATGAAGCTCTTATGAAGCTTTTGTGTGGCATCTAGAGCACAAGGAATAGCAATATATGGACAGAGCAGGCCAGACAAAGGAAGAGAGAAAGTAAAAGTCAGAGTGTAAACAGGCTGAAGAAATTTTTCTTAAAGAGAAATGCAGCCCAGACTTGATTTGTGTATTCAGTTGAGCTATCACCCTAGGGAAATGTCATCTATTTCTTTACAGGAGATGACGTCTGTTTGCAATCCATAGGTGGATGTGGGTTTAATGAAGATCCTCCGCCAATGTCAGTTTCATTTACATTTGTCACAGTCAATACAGCCTCCTGCCTGTTTTACAAATGATCTTTTGTTTTCTGGTGTGTAACTAAGCAATATCATAACACATTTGAGAGACACATCTTTTATATTTACGTAGACCTTACTGTAGTTCACACTTATTTTCAGGTACCTGAAAGCTAAGTATAAATCACTTCCCTTTGGAGACTGCCTCTGTTCATTTGTGGGAATAATCTATAATTTGTTATAGTTTAGATGCATATTTGTCTGAAGTTTTGACTCTCAATATCATTTAACCAGAGATGATTTTCTTTTTCCCCAGGTTAGTTAAATCTAGACATAGGAAGGTCTGCACCTCAGAAGTTGGACTCCTGAAAAATGTTGAACGTGAGCAAGAGTCTGAAGAAGAAGTGTGATGGGCATCTAGTCTTTCTAGTATTTCTCTTTGTGCATTGCCTTTGTTCATGGACTTGTTTCTTGACATTTTGTCTAGAGAGCAGTCGTCTGAGCCTGACTCCATGCTCTTTGTATTTCCAGTTTTCTTAAAGTGTTGGACTTGAAACGTCTTACTTTCAGCTTTGAAAGTACCTTGGGTGACAAATTCACTTTGATTATTGTGCATGCCATGGTATTCAGGAGTAATCATGATTTTTTTTCCCAAAGTCATATATAGTTTCGTGTCGATATTATAAAAATTATATATATATATATATATAATTTTCCTGATATATACCTTCAAGATTTGTGGTCTTGCCATCACCTGTACTACATTAAATGTTGAATTTTATTTGTTTATCTTGTTGTCACAATGGAAAATAAATAAATGCATGCACCTTGGTGCAGAAACATCAAATCCTTGTTTTTTTTATTAAAGTATGCCTCACCCTCACATGATTCAGAATCAGCGTGTACAGGAATCCATTTCTTTATGGAGAACTTGACATAAAAGGCAGACCAAAAGTCTTCCTGTGAGCTTTTCAAAAAGGAATGGTCTTGAGACACATGGTTTCGAAGCTGTCAAAGATTAGCAGAGGAGAATCATGGTATTAGTACAGCTTCACGTGGCTACCATGCCATTTACTCTGCTAAAGAGGTAAAGGACTAGACAGCAAGCCTTTATACAATCCTAGGTTTAAAAAAAAAAGTCAGAGCCTTTGTGCCATATGGGTCAAGAAACTCCCAGTGATAAGTGAAAAAATAATGCATATAATTCTGGTCTTACTACTAACCACTCTCCTTGTCTCTCATAATTAACACAGCTTTCTCTCTACACTTGACCTTAGTTAAAAGGCCAAAAAGTGATTCTTCACTCTAAAGAGTGAAATTGACATAGGCATAGAGACCCTTTCTTGCTATCACATCTTATGAATCTCAAATGGAAGGAGGTAGAGAACTAATTTAATACAATATTACATAGAAAGGCCAGTCTCAGAAATAAGGAAAGGATGCAGGAATCCTGAGGGATAACCTTAAAAATGCAGGAAATCACACAGCCCCTGCACCCATGGAGGTGAAACACTGACATTGAAACCCAGAAGGTTCCCTTGCATTCCAGAATTCCAGTAAGACTAGAAGCTGCCTCATCATCCATGCATCACCATAGTCCCAAAGAGAAGGATGAGTATATTCTTCAGAGGTCCAAGAACTGGGACTATTCATCTTGTTACATAAGATATTAAAAGGACAAAGGCAAGTGCTCCGAGGTATCTCTTGAGCAGTAAGTGAGCAGAGCATATGTCTCTGGAATGTGAGGTACCAGAGTGTCATGATCCTCTGAGGATCATGTGCTCTGTTCATGTCTTTCCAGATTGAAGGGCTCTCATCCTCCTCTTCCTCCTCTTTCTTCTTTTCTTTGAGACAGTGTTTGTTTTTTTTTTTTGTTTGTTTGTTTTTGTTTTTTGTTTGTTTTTGTTTTTGTTTTTTAGCTCTCCTGAACTCACTTTGTAGACCGGCTGGCCTCACAGGGATCAGCCTGCTTCTGCTGCCTCCCTGAGTGCTATGCCCAGTTAAGGGCTGCCTCCATGTCACTATGCCCAGTTAAGGGCTCTTTTCTAACTCAACAACATTCTGTGACTTACACATTTGCATTCCTAAGGAAGTAGCCAACAGTCAGCTGCAGCTAGTTGAGACAGAAGTCACTGATATCTAGGTCTGAATGGTACAGACAGGGAAGTTAAACCTGGAAGTTTGAAAGCCAGTGAATGCAAATTCTCTACTGCTTTTATGACAGTGCAGAGATCACTACTTCCCCAGGATTGAACCCACAGAATATAAAAATGCAACCCAGGATGTTCTCAGAACATCTGCGTCCAAGATCAGTTTGGAGATCCTTCCTACAGACACTGAAGGACACCTTTCTTGCAATTGTGTGATTGTACTATTGAGGTTGTATTTTATGAAAACTAAGTTTGCAGCAGCACGAACAAATTAGTAAACTGTGATCTCTCTCAAGCCCAAAATAAGAAAGTCTTTTATTTATTTTCTTTATCCCATGCCAGGAAGTGTCAGTCCATTTATAGAATCTGTACAGAGTTTAGCTTATCAAAAGATATATCTTAGCAAGTTGTCTGAAACAAGGACAAATATAACAAAAGTGTAAGTGGTTTTCTCTACTCCAAAGCACAGGAGGAGGAAAGGCAGCTCAGCTATGCTCATCAGCCCGAGGGGTGGGTAGAAACGGGGTCACTCATCACACAGATGTTTATTATTCCATTTCCAGATGCTAGGAAGTATGCACTAAGCTAAGAATAGAGCGGTGCACAGGCCAAAGCTGCTGTCTCCATCAGACATACGTTCCTGAGGGAGAAAGAGGCAGCAAAGATGGAAAATATAAGACTACAAAGTGAGACAATGAGTGATGTGAAGAAAAAGAAATCTGGGAAGAATGGTGAGGTGTATTAATAGCGAGGATTATCAGTGACGTTTTGCCAAGGGTCCATCTCTCAGAGGTCTTTCTATAAAGAAAAGATGCACTCATAATCCATGTTCATGTGAAATCATGGTGTTTATGCTTCCAGAGGATTAGACTGTGCCAGGACACGCTTTGCCTTCAAGGATAGGGCAGAGATGGGGATCTGTACCGCCCCCCAACACACACACTTTGTGCTTTGTCTCAGCTGTCACAAACCTGAAGACAGAGTTCCTGAATTTCTGCCATATTTCCTTCATAAGTAGCTCATGCTCCTTCACCATAAACCCAAGGAGAAATCTTGTCAGAAATGAGTCAGAAATGAAGCACGGTTTGTACAGAGAGGAATGTAGGGATGGGAGCTGTCACCAGCTTAGGTGAGCTTTGCTGCTGGTGAGACGCCAGGTCCTTAGCGCTCTCTGTAATTGCCAATTTTCTTACTGTGGCAACAGTGCCGTCTTACTGCATCTTAAAATAGGAGGCCGGATCATGACTGTACTTTCATTAACCTTGATATTACTTCACCAGTATAGGAGCGTATCAAGGTGCTGATTTTACCTTGAATACGGATTAATAAGGTGAGGCAGCAATCTCTATATTACAGGAAAACCCAGAAATAAAAAGGAAGCAAAGAACTTTCCCAAATACAAATAAGTGATTAATGAAGTTAATATACATAGAAAATAGACTCCCAAATTTTGTATTCTGTTAAATCCAGATACAGAAAAATAAAAGAATAAAGGACAGGCATACACCAACCTGAATTTCTCCAAAATAAACGCCAATGAAAAGGTAGAATCGTTTTAAGCTTAGATGGATACGTGCTTTCACGAGCTGTTTCGTGGGTAGAATAATTAAGCTTCTAGACTCACCCACTAAAAAACAAAAACAAAAACAAGAAAACTCTCAAAACTGAGTCCTTTTTAAAATTAGATTTGAAAACGTCTATTTTTATTTTGTTATTGTGTGGGTGGGGATCCAACTCAGCATTGTGTATGCATGGTAAGGACAATATGGTGGCAGTCCTGAGCTCTGTCATTCCAATTTTAAGCATAGAAAAATTTAATCCCAGAGATTTAAATTGTTTTACTTTGAGACCTAAAGGATTAGATTTCTCTTTAATCTTTTAAATTCATTTGTAGTAATGAACTAAATACATTAACTTTAAGTATTTCAACCAACAGACAAATTTTCCTAAGCCTTTATTGTTTTTTACAGATCTAATTTACTAAACTTACAAAGAAAGCTAGAGAAATGTAAATCTTTGGAATATTCCAATTTGTTATCGACTTGGTGAGATCTTGTAGGGCTACAATCCCACATTTATTAAACAATTGTACATTTGTAATCTGCTTATAAATTTGGGGAGACAGTTAAAATTACAGACATCTACAATCCTGCACATGCCTTAGACAATCCTTTAACCCAAACTGTCAGTGTGATGGTTGTGATTCCTTAGTTCTGTACTTTTCTCGAAGGCTTTCTGTGCTAAAAATGAGCTATGCTGTGAAGAAATGGGTTTGTTTATGGTAGGCAATGTCTGTGAGATAGTAAAGCCAAAGATAGACAATGGGGACAGGATTTTTCAGAGTGTTTTTCATAGCGCATCGCATAACCTGAATTCTATTTGTGCCAAGTGTGGAATCTTACACACAGGTGGTGTTCCAACCTTCTATGGACAGAGAATGTACTGTCCCGGTGGAGTCCTGCAGGCTTTCATGTAATTTGAGATGTCATTATTGTTTAGCCCTTAATTTTAGTCCTTTTTAGAGGTGACAATGTCCAGTGGAAGACAGATTTACGTGAAAGATCTTCCTTCTTGCCCAGAAGATAAGAGGAGCCATATTAAAATGAAAGTGAAAAATTGTTCCTTATCTGACTTTTTTCTCCCTCAATTTGAGTCTCCTACCCTGTTTTTAATTGTCCTAAATGAGGATGGGGAAGTAAGATTTGACAGATGTCTAAAAGTGGAGCTGAAACAATTCCCTATTTGCTAATTGTGTCTGAAGCCAAAACACTGAGTCCAAAGCACACAGCAATGAGCACATGAAACTAACAGAAAGCCTTAGCAATTTAGGGCAAAGCAACCTTGTCCGTGCTTAGAAACAGACATATTTTCCTTTGTCTTTAGAGAGAGTCTAACTTCGTTAACACTACACTCAAAGCTTTGACTCTGAGAATTAAATAAAATTAAATTACTTTAGCCCAATTTGTTAATGTACAGCTCTGTCTTATGTTGTACCTACAACTGAACATTTTGTTTCATGTCTGCATTTTTTATTTTTTATTTAGTTGTATTTATTTATTATTAAATTTATTAAAATTTTTATTCACTTTACATCCTGGTTGAAGCCCCATTCCAGCTCAACTTCCAGTCACCCTTCCCCATCTCCTGTTCCTCAGAAAAGAGGAGCCCCCTTTCATATCCACTCCAGCTCCTCAAGTTGCATCAGGACTGAATGTGTCCCCTTCCCTGTGGCCTGGCAAGGTAGTCCCACCAGGAGGAAGTCATCAAAAAGCTGACAAGAAACTCCCTCTCAGATGCAGTCCCCACTTCCCTTAAGATCCACAAGAAGCCTAAGCTTTCCATCTGCTACACCTTTGTAGAGGGCCTAGATCCAGTTCATGCATGCTTCAGTGTCAGCAAGCCCCTCTAGGTCCTAGTTAGTTGGTTCTGTGGTCTTCCTGTTGAGGTCCTGTCACCTCCAGGTCCTCTTCTCTTTCCCCCCACTTTTGCACAAGACTCCCTAAGCATCATCCACTGTT